ATCCCGAAAAGATTTTTTACAAACTGAGCAGACGTAACGGTGTCCCCCTGAATGAACTTTCATGTGAGAGATTAAAGTGTTCTTCCAGCTGTATTTTTTACCACAAACTGGGCACATAAATGTTCTCAATCTCCCTTCTGTGTGGTCATTGTGTTTCTGCAGATGTTCCTCGTGGCCGCCGCTTGTAGCACATTCAGAGGAGCTAACTGGTGCTCTTCCAGTGTTACATCCCACATCTCTTACTGATACTTAATTGTTCTGCAGACGGTTTAAACCCGACTGAGGTTCTCTGACGTCCTCCCAATCAGTTCAGGGGAGTGTGACGTCTCATCATCAGTATCTGGTTGTAAATGATCTGGAGTAAAGTTCCTGGCTGGTTCTGGTCCTCCACAGTCCTCTCCATCAGCTTCTGTTGTCAAATATTCTGCATCTTCGTTCTCTTCAGTTCGTTCCTCTTCATTGTGTGGCAGCTCTGGTGGGTCCTCCTGGTCCAGACTGGGGCTCCACTCCTGCTGCTCAGTGGGAAACTTTTTGTTACCCACCAACAGCTGCTGGACGTCTGTGGAGAATAAAATACACACGATTTAGAACATTTTAATAATTTCCATGAACATGATCTCCACCTGCTCTTATCAATAGACAATGTTCAGTTACAAAATGCTATAAATATTAACATCAGAATCATAATCAGGTTTACTGCAACTCGGTTTTCACATACAAGGAATCTCCCCTCGTATTTTGACGCTTAACAACAAACATACTGCAAGAAATATATGAATAATGATGAAAGCCAGCACTGCAAGTCAAGAAGCATAAATATATACAGACATTAAAAGGCTGTTTATTTCTTCAGCACATTAGACCAGGCTCGGCCGGTTTCTGGTTTTATTAAACGGAAGTAAACAATAGCACGACTAATGTGTATCACATATATATATCACATAAGGTATGTGTCTATATAAATATGTGTAGTGTAGCTTGTATATAGAACAAAAAGATAACACTGCTTCTGTTGTATAAACACTATAAACTGACATAAAAAGCTCAAAGTATTTAATATTCAAAGAGATATTTCTAATAATGTTGTATTGTTGTTTAGTTTTAGTGGTTCAAATCTGGTTTTTACGACGTATTAGAGCCAGACTAAGATACATTTTTTTCATTATTCTTTTGTAAATAACAAGAATAAAGTCGTAACATTCAGTGCTGGCCCGTGGTATAGGCAGTATAGGCAAATGCTAAGGGCGCCGTCCATCTAGGGGGCGCCACAACGGGGGAAGAAAAAAAAGATACAACTTTCAATATTTTTATACTAAAACTAGTTAGTGCTATTATTTCTTAGTATGAAAAAAATAAAAAAATAACCCCCCCCCCCACACCTGCTCTCTGAGAGATGGTTGAGTTTTCTGACGTGACCCAGCAGCTGTTTACATTTGTCTACATTTTATTTGTATTTATTATTGGTTAGCTAACGTTTGCTCTGCTTGTAACAGTCAGATGCTATTCCTTTCACACACCTTTATACATTAGAGTTGGAAGCCTTGTTGTTTGTTGTGTTACAGTTCAGTATGTTCTAAAGTGTGTTTATAGTGTTAAACTTTACATCCATGTTAAAGTGCACATCATTAATGTTAATACATTCCCATATGTTATATTATTCTGCAGTTTACTGCTTCTTTGCATTCTGCTAATCAACATTTCACTGTAATGACAATAAGATTCAATCTAATCTAATCTGCATATCAGAAAAAATTGCACTGTATATCATTCATGTACAGTACAGTGAAAGTAATGCATCTCTTAGGTTTTTCATTTTTATTATTTAATTTTATTCTTGGAATCATTTCTTTTATTATTAGACTGTAACACCCAACGGTGTCACTTTCTCCTCTTCTCTCTTCAGACGCGCTGTTGAAATATCTAAATCCACCTCCTGCAAATCCTGGGCCATCTACAGTCATCACTGCTCCAACAGCATCAACTGATCCTCCTTTATTTTATCACTTGTTTACAGTTTTTATTTTGTAGTTAGTTGTATACTTACATTGTATACTTTGTGTAGGCTATTTATATTACATTTCTTGTATTATATTCTAATTTATTATTTTATTGTTAACTGTTTTGATTGAGCAACTTGTTTCTCTAAAAATAAAAGAAAATGTCAAAGACAAAGCTATTCAGTTTGTTGTGTGAATATATATATGTATATAACTGGTAGTGGAATTTACTGCGACGCAAGGGGGGCGCCACCTAAAATCTTGCCTAGGGCGCCAAATTGGTTAAGGCCGGGCCTGGTAACATTACGAGAATAAAGTCGTAACATTACGAGAATAAAGTAGTAACTTTATCTTCCCGCTGCGTTTAAAATGAGGAATGTTGAGCATCATGTGAAGTTATACTTTGGTATCGGTTTCACAGATATATGAAATACTTCATCTTTTGGCTCATAAGCATCAAATTATTCTCAGTATCAGGACTTTGAAACGATTGTGCAAACGAAAGAAAGAACCACACAGACTCGGAAGAAATTGCTTCAATTTGTTCATTATTCTCGTATTACTACGACTTTATTCTCTTATTATTATAACTTTATTCTGGTAACATTAAGACTTTATTCTCGTAAGTTCCAAAATGTTATTCATTTATTGATTTATTTTTCCTCTTAGTATGGCCTGAATATTCCATTTATGTACATCAGCTTTAGAAGTTTCCCTTTCAGAGATACTTGTTACAATGTTTGGTTAATAAACATTACTTGTACTAATATTTCAAATTACAGAAAACATTTCAGTAACATTGTTACAATAACATTATTCCAACCTTCCTCCCACTGAACAGTAATAAAGGGAACCAACCTGCTCTGTGTAAGTGGACCTGAGGTCTGAAAGCAGCACTCAGGAGTTTGTAGTGAGAGAACCTCCTCCTCGTACTGTCAGTGTTCTCTGTAACAGCTGCAGTATCTCCTCAGCAGCAGCACTCAGTCTCTGGTTCACTAAAGCTCTCACAGTTTGGACTTTAGACATTTTCACTCAGTTCACCTGAAGCTAGCGAGCTAAGCTAACTTTATTGTAGTTTCAGAGAATATTGAAGATTAACTGTTCATAAAAAGCACAGACACTGGTTGTAAAAGGCGTTTAAAGGTTTAAAAGGAGGAAGTGAAGTGTCTCCTGCTCGACACCAACCTGTTCGACCGTGACAAGCACTTCCGGGGCCGCGTTGCTAACCTTCAAAATAAAACTCCAGTAAACTGTTTAGTACAGTGGTTCTCAACCTTAGCTAAAATAGCATTGTTCATCTGAAACTAGTAACTATATCTGTGACATAAATGTATTGAACATAAAAGTAATATATTTCCCTCTGAAATGCAGTAAAATTGAAGTTTCTCAAAACTGTATTTAAATTCAGTGCTTGAGTAAATGAAGGCTACTTTCCTGAATCATTCTGTAAATACAGTGTCTCATTAAATATAAATCATATATGGATGTCTTCCTGCTAGTGTAATATACATAAATATACGGAATCAAAATACATCTCTAAATACATTTTAAATGAACTACCAGCAGGTTAATCTGAGGTTGACCACCAGAGGGCAGCACATCATCACAGATTAAACCAGCTGTTCAGCTCAGTGGGTTCATTACAGGGACTCCTTCATACACAGATAACTGAGTTTGGATGGTATTATTATATATTTTATATATTTTTAATCTACATGTGGTGCTCTAGTGAGTATTTGGGGCAGCAGGATAGTGTGTGTGTGTTCATGGCAAACAGTGTGGCCCACTGATGTGTTATTATTCGATTTTGGATGACAGTGAAACTTCATGACACAGAGGACACACACAGTGCTTGTTAGTGGGATCAATGAATCAATTTCACAAATAATTTATTGTGACATTAATTTGACCTCCGCTTCC